AAGTATGCGGCACAAAAAGAAGCCTCCGTCCCCAGTTCCCTCGAACGCCTAGTAGAATATAAGAAAAAGACGGGCGTGTCCCCCGACGCAAGGGGGCAGCCGGGGTGGTGTACGCCGGAGTTGTAGAAAACAGGCAAGGAAAATGTTGTTGTTGTGCTGGTCTAATGTCGTTACAAGACATTAGGTGTGGTTTGAAGTAAGCGTCCAGGTATCGGTATGTGGGTGATGCTGTTGGATATTCGATTGGATGTCTAAGGCAGAATGGCTGTATTTGGTGAGGTCGTTGCAGTCATAACGATGATGTTGGAAAAGATGCGTCATGCTGGCGCAGCATCGTGCACAAGGAATGCAACAAGCGCTGCGGCTAATGGTGCAAGAAGCAGGAGGAGTTGTAGTGTGACCCGAGCTTGCTAGGATGAACATGCCGATATCTTGTATGTTTGGCCTCTTCTCTTGTAATGCTCACTCTAGCAACTGCCATGCCTGTTGGCCAGGAGCATCGTGTCTTCTCCAAAAGCCGCTTCTAATGTCGCCGCCCCGGGAGACCAGCTTCTTCCGGTAGGGCAGCAGAACTCCATCCTGTACTCGTCTACTCAACGCTCGCCCTTGGGGTATTGATTAAGCATGGCCATGACGGCTACACCTATTGCAACGACCGTCACCATGGCTCCGACCGGACCACCATAATACATGGAATCTCGATCTAGCCTATGAGCGACCAAGGCGGTCAATTTCCCAGACTGTTTTGAGCCGTTCTGCGCAACGGCATGCCCATTTTGTTGGCTCTGCGCAGGAAGTGACGCTTCTGGGCCATCGTCGCCAAGATCTTCTTCTCGGATAATGGTAATTTCGCCCTCTTCAGCCTCGTTGACATCAGCATCGGCCTTTACGTCGGGTTTTGCAGATGCAGCGTCATTTCTGCTTCGCCAGAGAGCGTCCTTACTGGCGGCCTTTGCATTGTCCTTTCTGATGTTTTCGATCATCTCTGCTAGCGACTTGCTGTTGGCTTCTGCGCTTTCGGCTCGCTCGCGGTAGCGCTCCATCTGCTGCTTCATCTCATTCATTTCGGACATCATAAGGTCGAGATGAGACTGCAGCCGCGCTGCAGTGTCATCGGCAGATGGAGGGACAGGACTTCCATTCTCCAAACCAGTAGGCTCTTCGTGCTCTGGCTCAGTCGGGTCGATTTTTTCCAAGTCATCCTCTCCTACTACAGTCTCAGCATCACTGTGGTCCCTGTTCGTCTCGCGCTCGAGACGAGCTGCTCGCTCCTCAGCGTCTTCTCTTGCGCGGCGCTCTTCGTTCAACAGAGTCTCCAGATCGCGTAACCGCATGCCTTGCAGTTCAATCTCCTTCTTGGCATTGGTCAAGGCTTCGGTGAGCGAAGACAATTGCGGGTCGGAGCGTACAGGCGAGCCGGTCTTGGCGCGCTCAGTGTCTGACCTCTTAAGGGAAGATGCAACGTCGGGTTTCTCAGGCAAAGGCTGTTGTGGCGGAGGAGCTGGTGGGTCTGAGAACCTAGCCTTTAGACTGTTATCCTTTATTGGGGAGATCTTGACTTGGTTGATGGAAGATGCCTTGGAAGTTGTTTCCTTCTTGGGGTCTGCGGAAAGGATAGCATTGATATATTGGTGGGCTTGTTGGAGATCTTGCGACTGTTGCTTGGCAGCTTTAATCTCCGTCTAGTTTTGTTAGCAACATCAAGAAAGGATGTTTCTCAAGTTGGACTCACATTGAGCTTCTTGACTACCTGTTCCATTGTTATAGGCTGCAACCAGAAATTAGGATGGCGGGGTTGTGGAAGGCCATTTGTGTAGTTGGGCATGGCACCAGGACCCTGGAGCCGTTGGCCGTTCATGGAACTCTGACTGCCCGTGCGACCTCGCATACCCGGCATTTGCTGTTGGTTGCCGCCGCCCATCATGTTTGACATTTGGGATCCTTCGAGTTCGCCAAAATTGAGGTCCATCATCTCACTACTCGAGCGGGTATATATGCCGGCATGTTCAACGCGTGCTGCGACCTTGTGGTGCACAATGGTCTTTTGGTCTTCGCTGACAATATCGATACCGAGTTCCAGCATGTCTGATTCGCGTAGCTCGTGCGGCTCCGAGTCTCTGTTCTCTTGTGACAAGCGGGAGCCGTTGACAAAGGTTCCATTGGACGACTTGACATCCCTGATCCATATCTTGCCCTGGCGGTCTGCCCAAACCTCGGCGTGCTGTCTCGAGAGAACCTTTGAGTCGAAGTATCCGTTGAGCGGGGTGGGTATCGTCTTGTTGTTGGTCTGTCTGCCGATGCGGAGGACGTCGGGGAAGAAGGGGACGGTGATGGTCTTGCGCTCAAACGTGCCGTTCATGGGGACGAGGTGCAGGACGGCGGTGCTCTCCTGGCCCTGTGCCCGCTGTGCGCCGTTGGCCTGTTGCTGGGCCTGGCCAGGGCCATTGTGCTGCGAGGGGACCATTGCAGAGGGGGCCTGGAGGGCGCTCATGGCCGAGGCGGCCGAGGAACCAGGGCCTGCGGAAGCGATGGGCTGTGTTCGTGCTGCGGTGATTCCTGCGATGGGCTCAGTCTTTGTTGCGGGCCATAGTCCCTTTGGGGCTTTTGCTTTGCGGGTGGCAGCCCAGTCGGCGGCGTTGAGGGGGGCGGTACCGTTTGGGTGTGATGAGGATGACGAGGCAGAGAGGGTGGAGGATGCAGATGCTTGTGACGACAGGCTCGACGACGAGTTTGAGCGCTGTGCACTCTTCCGCGGCATGAAGATGGCACCGCCGTTGGAGACGCCCTCAGCGGTCCATGCCTGGCGGTTGATGTTCTGGTAGTTGACGGGGGGCGCGACTGCCGTCATTGGCGAGGTGGTGGGGATGGCAGGGCGAAGTTGTGTTTACAGAGTCCAGCGTCACTTTTCCTGCACGCTTCCCGTGGTCTCCGTTTTTAGCGGCGCGACAGCAGCGTGACAGGCCGCCAAACAAGCAACGAGGGCACGACGGGGGCACAAGTCGCTCAGGCACTCATGCGTCGCGGCGGGAGGCACTCGCGCAGAGCTGTCGGGGGTCGGGGGTCGTGTGGCGGGCGGATGGGTGGGTGGGTGTATAGAGGCGTGTGTGGGCGTGCGAGTGTGTGGGTGTCGGAGAGCGATGGTGCAGTGCTTCGCAAGGCTGCAACGGGGGCACGCAGCACAGCAACAGCGTCTCTGTTGGGTGGGCCGGGCTGGTGGATGGGCGGTGGTGGGGGAGGGCGGTATGGATGGCGGCTTGGGGAGAGCAGGAGGTGTCGTCGGGCTCGTCTCACTGCACTGCTTTAGTGGCCAGATGGGCGAGGCGACGGCGCAGGCACAGGCGTGATGCGGGCGTGGAGAAGACGGCCGCTTCGAAACAACGACACGGCAAAGACACCGAGATGGGACACGACAGGCCTGGAGTGGGCGAGGCACTTGTTCTCTGCAACTGCAAACTACACGCGAAACACCGGACGGGCCTCGAAACCATTTTGGCCTCATTTCACGCTGCCGCCCGTGAAGGGGGCTTGTACAGTGGTCACGTGCCCCGGGCCAGGGTGTGCCTGTGTGCGCCTGTGTGCGTGAAGTCCTGACTGGACTGGCAAGACTGGCGGCTGCGTGGGCCAAAGGGCTTGGCCACCGGCAGCCCTCTTCATCTCCCACCGGACGGGCTATCAGTAGAGCACTTACTCGTGCTGCGTACTCTGCAGCACATGCGCAACTACGTAATAGCACACAGTGATAAAAATACATGCATACATACCACCTACATACATACATACATACGTCCTCGTACATGGACTACATAGACAGCTAGCTGCTTTGGGCATCCTACGGTTGTACTTTCCCCGGACTTGGGTCGTGTCTGCTTGGCGCTGGTGCTGCTGGTGCTGGTGCTGGTGCTGGAGCCGCGGCCAGGGCAAGTCCAAGTGCAAGCTTCAATGCGGGACCGTCACTGCAGCTGCCAACCCACTTCTGCCTCCCCTCGCGCCCACCCTCTCTCTCTCTCTCGCCCGCAGTCCTTCGCATCGCCCTCGCAATGCCCGTTCCAGTCGGATCCATGCCTCAGGGCGCCCATGGCCCTTCCACGCTTGACAAGCGTATGCTCCCGTGCTCGCATCTGCTTGAAAACGTCTAACACCATGCAGTCAAGATGGGTGGCATGATGGGTGGATGTACGCTTCTCCCCACCCACACATGAAAGATTCAAGCGCCCTAACGCATGTCCAGCGGTCGGTCTGATCATTGGCTTCATCTTTGGTTCGCACAGCCGTCAATGTCCCCCGCACCACTTCTGACAGTCCTAGGATTCACCAACATTGTTCGATTCGGCCCAGGACCAAATGGAATGCTAAGAACACTCGGCCAATACATGATGGGCTCAGCCGCGACCTTTGGGTATGCATCGCCCGCCTTACAGTCTCTTTTGCGCTGACGTCCTACCAGCTTCTTCATGGCCATTGGCACCACGATCCGCACAGAAAGTTCTCCGATTGCTACACAGGCCTTTAACAGCGCCAGCCGCAGGCCTATGATCCTTCCCAGGAGCTTCCAATACCCACGCGTCGCTCGCAATGAGAAGAACTAGATTTTAGATTGCCCGCACCATCCGTGGCAGATGCTGGAAGATTTCACAGTTGTAAAATCAACTATGATTGGAGATGAAAATTACATAGGCTTGTATGATACGTAGCAAAGCTGCTCTTGACAGTGCAGCCAAAATGCAGCAACTGCAGAGGTTCGCACACAAAAGGTTTGTCTGGTACTGGCTTCACAGTTAGTGTTCACCGTGAACCTAGAGAATATCACTGCGCTGTAGACCCTTGGCTCACTCATCACTGCACCTGGACATGTATCCCACGCCCCGCCTCTCGTTTGTATGTTGTACTGGCTCTCGTCTGAGCCTACAACAATCGCTGCAAAAGCCACCAAAGCCTGCGCAACCAACTTGTGACTTCGCCTAGCCGTTCATTCCCTCCAGCAAAGGATACTCATCTGGAAAATGTCTTTCTTTTCTGGAAACGAGACGTCTGGTTCACACAAATCCCCCACCACTCACAGCCCTCGCCCAGGTCTCACTAGACGTGACTTGTTCCACTCCACACCTAGGAGCGACAGCGAAAACGATAGTGACAATATCAACAAGCTGAGCAAGGGTGTACGGAATCATGGTCCACTCAAACAAAAAGCCACCGAGGCAGTTCGCGGCCAACACGAAGGGAAGGCGCCAAGAAAGCCCCTGCAAAAACCCGGTTCCTTGATCATACCTTTTGCGAAGCCTGCGGCGATCAAATTCAAGCCAAGACTTTTTCCGACCACCACCTGGGCGCCAAATTCTGCAAGCAAAGCACGCTCCTACAATGACCTTGGTAGCAGTTCTGAGTCTACCTCAGCAGCACCATACGATCCGCTTCAAGACCTTTCAGACAACATGGATGCAGTCGTTAAATCTGTAGACGAGCATGCCCTTGGAGGAGCCAGCGTGAGTGTTCTAAAGCTGGTGAAATATGTAAAGGAGTGGCGAGGTACAGTCAACAAAGTCGTCCGTGCCATTCAAACAGCCGAGGACCAGCGGATCAAAGATCTCAATGCACAACTGGATTTCGATCGCGAAATCGAGCAAGTGCACCAAAACACGATTAATAATCTTCTTGATGAAGCATGGTTGGCAGAGGTGCGCAAGAGTGAGTGGGAGTGGCAGAAGAAGATGGACGTGCAACAGCAGGTGATCAACTCTCAGCAGCAACCAAACAAAGCCCTTGTCCAACCGTGTGCCACAGATACACAATACCCATGCTCCCAAGATAAAACCAGTAGCCGGATTGAGGAGATGAACACGCCCGAGTCAACTCGTGCGGCTACCACTACGCAACTGGAGACGCCTCATGAAGACAAAGTCAGCCTCCTCATTCAGAAGGCGAAGCATCTGTCCAATCTCGGCACACAGCCCTATGGGGTGCAGAAAACTAAAGATGATGAAAGCGGCCACAAAGAAAACGCTGTGACGTCAATGGCGCTGAACATGGCATTGATGCAGGGTGGTACGCATATGAGCAGTCATACAATTCGTTCAGAGCCTTCAAGTGTGACGCGAGCAGACAAAACGGTTACCAACAACAAGCGGAATAATGACCATTGGCCATCAGCTACATACTCGGGAGATAGAATTTCTCCTGGCAAGCACAAGCTGGAAGATGTTCACAGAGCCACGAGCACACTTGAGAATGCTAATTGGTCGCGAAAGAGAGCAAGGACTGCTGTGACCAGATAAAGATAAACTGTCGATCTTGACCCGTACCGGCGAGCAACGATGGAATAAGCACAAAAAGCTTCATATCACCGGCTATGTATCAGCCCAATGGTTCAGTTTGCGTACCTGCAGTCCTAACCTTGCTTCTCCAAGTGCTTTTTGTAACTGGCAAAATCAGGTCTAACGACCTTAGGCTTACTTCTATGCATATGCACTCATACCTGGATAGACTGCAACTATAGCCCCCCCAGAAAATCATACTTGCGTTTCCAGAAGATACACCAGGATGTGCATGTTTCTTTGAGGCATTTCTCATTGCAAGCATTGTCCATTGTTGTGAACTCTAACCTGAAACAACAGAGTTGGAGAAAAGCAATTGGTAGATGCGGGGCACCGAAAGCAGACTAGCTTGAATGGTCGCAGCTCCACTCAATCGATCCACGGCCACCTCGTACACAATCATTGTTTCAACCTCGACCAGCAACACCTTCATCAAACGCCTTTCGCACTTTCACTTTTTCTTCTTCTCTCCTCATCGACGTGCCTATCACCGTTAACTAATTTGCGCACACTTCCCTACGACTTTTGGGGAGCTTCGTCACCTCCCCTTTACGCGTCCCTATTCGCGTCGCGTCAAGCCTACTACGTTACCTACACAGCCCAATCCTCGCGCAGCCATGACGGAATACGCGAAGATGAAGAACGACGAGCTGTCAGCGCTCCTCAAAGAGCGCAAGCTACCTCACACTGGCAAGAAGGCCGAGATGGTCGAGCGCTTACAGAAAGACGACGAGAAGGCCAGCGCGAAGCCTGCTGCAGGCGCAGAAGATGAGATCGACTGGGATGACGACGAAGCTGCTGCGGCGCCTGCGCCTGCGACAGCAGCGCCTGCTGAGACCGTCACTTCCAACAAAGAGACTGTCGAAAAGGCCGGAGGTGAGGGCCAGCCACCAAACCCGCAAGCAGTACCGAACCAAGTAGCCGATATCGATCCCGCCAAGACCGACGACCTGACTGCAGACGCCCCGGCTGAAGGCACTGTGAACGGAGCCGCCAAGACCGAGCCAGAGGAGAAGAAGGAAGAGCCCGCTCCTGACTATTCAAGAGGCCTTGCCGCAACGAACCTTGACGAAGAGATCGAGAAGCGCAAGAAGCGCGCCCTCAAGTTCGGCACAAAATTCGAAGACGATGAAGGTCTTAAGAAGTTGGAAAGGGCCAAGAAATTTGGAGAGGTTGGGCCACCCAAGGGTCTTGACGAGGCTCTGCCAGAACGCCGTCAAAAGCGTGGGCGCGAAGGCGGCGATGACGCTGCTAGCAACAAGCGCCGCGAATCTGGACGTACTGGAGGCCGGGGAGGACGTCGGGATAATCGGAACAGGGATGGTCGGGATGATCGTCGTAGCGAAAACAAGAGTGGCGGTGGAGGAGGAAACAACTGGATGAGCGAGAAGGACCGGGCCGCGGCAGAGGCCAGGAAAGCCAAGTTCGCGAAGCCAGCTGCTTGAGCTTCGAAACAGCGGTGATGATTTTCTTGGATTGGTGCAGGAGCGCCCAAGGAGCAACTTGGACAAAGCTTCGATCCCGCGAACGGACCCAGCTAGGCAGCTTGCACAGCACCGGCGCGGTTGTGTAACATTTCTTGCGGGCTATACTTTACAGACTGCCGGACGAACTGCGATTGTCGATTTCTCAAACACTTGACGGATATATCAATTGAAAGCTGATTTCTCTACTCGGACGTTTCATTGCCACTTCGCGATTCACTACTTGTAGATCGCCAAGCTTGGAGCTCCTCTCTTTAAGTTGCAGAGGTAGCGATCAGCTGCCATGAGAAAACAATAGTACGCCATAAGATAAATGGGGCTCCATTGACAGCATATGGCGTTTGACATTTCAAAGCCGGATACGTTCCGCTATACCAATAATCAAGACTAGCTCAAATCGAGCGTATATTCACAAATGTCTAGTAATGATGTACGCCGGTCGCTCAGGACACGGCATGAACCCTCATTGCCGGGCGGCAATAAGGAGTTATTTTTACATGATGGTGCGGCGGTGGAATGATCTGGACTTGTATGCGGCTCTTTTACCCATTCAAATTGGTACAAACTCTAACATGACTTGCTGATAATCGGCCCTTATAGTTGCGTATAGTAGTGCCGTAACACGCAATTGCGGCTGACACCAATGAACCAATGATGGATGTTTGCTGTACAAGGAGCTTGTCAAATACCTTTCATTACTTCCTCTGCCGTAGGTCACGTGTAGGCTCTAGTCACTGCATTACCATTACTCCGACCTCGGCAGCTGCCGTTCGTCCCGCACCCAGACATGCCAACGCAACCAAAGAGGAAGAGGCTTAGCTACTCCCAAGGATGACGAGCACATACGCATACGCTAGAACATTTGTGGGTCACTCTAGACAACGGCTGCATTTCCGCACATGATGTGTTTATTCCGCATATGATGTTATTCCGCATACCGGACTACACTCTCTCTCTCTTTGTTCCGAACTCGATTTCCATCCCTGCACACCGATGTCCTTCTCACAGGCTCTATTTTATCAAGAGAGCGCTTGTGTTTAAATATTGGCTCCAGCCTAGGTCACCTGCAATAGCTTGGAATGTCTTGAGTCGGGATAGTTCCTTTGGTAGACTCGAAACACACCCCCACAGTTGCTGGAAAAATACCATTTTGAAAACTGCATCAAGATAGAAGGGAAAAAGCGAAAAAAACGAAAGAGGAAAGTTTGCGAAAACGTCCAGATGACGTCGCATTCGATAGTCAGGGACAAGGAACCCATCATCGATAACAAGGCTGTGTCGCAAGACGAATACAGCTGTACTTCATCTGAACACCACAGCGAGGAGGTAGTCGAGCAACATGACGAACGAGACGCAACAGGAAGCACCAGTATGGTACCAGACAAAGAAGCGCAATTAGATGCACGCTCAACACTCACTGCCGAATCCGGCCTGCCACCTGCCCCCGACGGTGGACTCCACGCATGGCTCAAAGTCCTAGGCGGCTTCCTAATCTACATGAACATCTGGTGCGTCCATTTCAATCCCTAGCATCATCCCTGGTTTCCTCCCAATACACCAAGCATCATGTTTCGAAACATCATACACAAATATGAACTTGAATACTTACCAACATGATTTACTTGTAGGGGTTTCACCTTAACATACGGCGCATTCCAGTCCTACTACCGCACCTCGCTCCTGTCCTCCTCCACAGCCTCCGCCATATCATGGATCGGCACAACGCAAGCCTGCCTTCTAATCCTTGTCGGCGTCCTCTCCGGCCCACTGTTTGACATGGGATACTTCCGCTCCATGCTCCTCATCGGCAACTTCCTCGTCGTATTCGGTGTCATGATGTTAAGTCTATCAACCACATACTGGCAAGTCTTCCTCAGCCAGGGTATATGCATGGGTTTGGGCGCAGGACTACTGTACATCCCCAGTTTGGCCATGGTAGGTGTGTGGTTTGACAAGAAAAGAAACGTTGCACTGGGCATCGTCATGAGCGGGATTGCAGTTGGTAAGGTTTTCCCATCCATCTATCCCATCTTTATACCTTCAAAAAATCCCCCCATGCACAAGTCACATATACAACGGCAAGAAGAAGAAGAAAGGACAAGAAACATAAACCGACATATACTAACAACCAAAAAGGAGCAATCATCTACATAACAATGTTTAACAACCTCGTCCACCGCATCTCCTTCCCCTGGGCCATCCGCTCCCTCGGCTTCGTCGCCCTCGTCACCGCCCTCCTCTCCATCCCCGCCCTCCTCTCAGGCTCCGCCTGGCTCAACAAGCCCCGCGCGCGCCGTGCCCTCTTCGACAAATCCGCCCTCCACGACTCGCTCTTCCTCATGTTCACTCTCGCCTCCTTCACCGTCTTCCTCGGCTACAACGTCCCTTACTTCTACATCCCCACGTACGCCCGCGAGCGCCTCGGCGCCGACGAGCGCACCGCCTTGTACATGCTCGTCATGGCTATTGCAGGCAGCTTCTTTGGGAGACTCAGCGTGGGGTTCTTGGCGCATTACATGGGTCCCATTGTAACGTGGGCGCTGTGTTCGACGTGCAGTGCCATTTTGGCTATGAGTTGGTTGGCGATTGAGGATCAGAAGAGTTTTAGGGCTTTTAGTATCTTGTGGGGTATGTGTTCAATTTCTTTTTTTCCCTTCCCCTTCTCCATCTTCTCCTTCTTCTTCTTCTTTCCTTTTTTTTCTTGCCTCGGGGTGAGGGGAAGGGAGAAAGACGAAATTCACTTTGCTAATTTTTTTCTTCTTCATCACGCTCAGGCTTCTTTTCGGCGGGTCTCGTCACTTTGCCTGCAGCGGCATTCGCAAGTATCACTACGGATATGTCGCGCTTGGGTACCCGGCTCGGTATGTCGTGGAGTGCAAGTAGCGTGGCTACGCTTATTGGCGCGCCGATTGCCGGTGCGCTGATCAAGAGGGAAAATGGTCGGACAAACTTTATCGGCGTGCAGTTGTGGAGCGGTGTTTTTCTTCTCCTGGGAACGGGAACTCTGGTCGTTTTGTGGGCTATGGTGGTCAGGAAGCAGAAAAGTGGGTGGAAAGTATAAGGAGTGGTTTTTTTTGGTATGGTGAATGGATTGCATATTGGGGGAGTTGGAAATTTCCGTTGTTTCATTTTTACATATTTGGGTATTTGCATATATTGGGTTGAAAAGTACATACAGGGATTCAACATGACGAGAAAAAAAAAACATGGGTAAGGCGCACGACTTAGGGGAATCAGAAAGCAAAAAGGGGCAAATTTCAAACTTGAATAATACATATTTTACAAGAGCCGTCAAACAGCATACCCATATCCTTCACTATGCTTATGCCGCCACCATCCCTTCTCCCCATCGCCTTCCCTCCCCCCACTCTCAGACCCCTTATCCGCACTCCACATGCTCCCACTCCCCCTCGCAACCACAATTGTCGAGTTCCCCAGCGCGTGTTCCGCATCGCCTCCACTGGCAATGCCCGTAGCCCCCGCAACACCGCCTCTCCGCCACAAACTCGCCTGCAACTCATACACATCATCCTTCTCGCCCGCCAGCTCCTCCAACCTCGCACGTTTAGATTCAGGAACAAGAAAGCTCGTCAGCATGCCGAGGAACATGAAGAGAGCGAAAATCTGCATGACGCCGTGGATCCAAGGTGTGGGGTTATCATGGGTAGCACCCCTTTTAATCATGGGCGCGAAGAATATCTGTGCAAATACGGCTCCTAGCTTTCCCATGCCCGCGCTGAATCCATGCGCCGTACTGCGTACTCGTGTGGGAAAGATTTCCGCGGGGGTGATAAACGTGGTGGCGTTTGGACCAAAGTTGAAGAAGAACTGAGCGAGGACGTAGAGAGCCAGTAAGTGCTTCTTTGTAAGATGTTGCCATGCAAAACCCAGGACACAGAATATTACTGTTAGGATGGCGAAGCCGGTGATTTGAATGGGTTTGCGACCGAGTTTGTCGACGGTGAAGACGGTGAGCCAGTAGCCGGGGAGGGCGCCGGCGCAGATGAGCACGATTTGGCCGGTGGCGGTGTTGCGGAGGTACATGTAGAGGTTGTCACCTTGCTCGAAACCCATAATGGCCATGAGAGAGGCGGAACTGAAGCCTAGGCCGTAAAATGCGAGGTCGAGAAAACTAGAGGGTGGTTAGTTGGTGAGATGTTAGGATGGGGGTGAGGCTGAGGGAGCCGTACAACCAAGACATTGAGGTTCCAAAGATCCGAATGGCTTGACGCTTTTGCGAGAAAAAGCGGAATAATTCTCCCAAAGAGGGTCGCGGGGTCTTGTACTTGGCCATTTCGCTGCGGGCCTGGGCCTGGGTTACGGGATCGACCTCGTTTCCTTGCTTGCCATAGCGATACTTTCTTGCGTCGACAGAGGCCTTCTCGACATCGTACAGCACATCAAATGTATATCTTGGTGTCTCGGGAACTGTCAATCGGTAGTACAAGGCGAACCAGCCGGGAATGCCGCCGAATGCAATGATGATGCGCCACATCTTGTCTACGTGCACTGCACATTCTCCTACGCATTCACCGACCCCTGTTGCTATGACGAGATGGTCTTTGTAAATGACAACCACTATGAGTGTTACCAGTGCCGAAGCCAACTGCCCGAGGCCTTGCATTGCAAAGACAGCGGCTATGATGCCTCCTCGGTAGCGCGTACTGGCGAATTCAGCTGTGATGACAGCACTGAGGGGATCTAGAATGGTTGTTAGCGTTTCTACGAACCTACATAGCCAATTCCAATCAGAGATTCTAGAGCTGGGAAAAAAGACCGCAAATCAAACTTACAGTCGCCACCCACACCAATTCCCATGATTACGCGATAGAAGATCAGAACACCGACAATTGACAGGGTAGCCGATTCTCCACAAAGTGATTGCGCAAGGGTCGTTGCGATGATGATCATGAGCTCAACGCCGTACATTCTTTTTCGTCCAAGATAATCGCCCAAGTATCCAAAGACGCACTGCCCAAAGATTGCGCCGGCGGACGTGGCAACTTTGATGGCTGTATCGGCATTATGAGGCATGACACCACGGCTGTCTGCATCTTGCCAATACACAATGCCTAGCAATATGACTGTGAGATTGATTGCGAACAACTGGAGATAGCCGTTAGCCCTATGTCTGTATGGGCGGTTTCATTTTTAGACGTACGCTGTAAGCATCTGTGAAGAAGCCTATGCCAGTGACCACGGCCAGGCGCACATGGTACCATCCGAAGGGTGCTTTATCCACCTCAGCGAGGGCCATGCGCCGGCGCTCATTGGGGTCTGCAATGTGAGTCTGGTAGCCCCATTAGTAAGGCCGTGGTATCAGATTGTGTCGATCAGTACTTACATAGACGCCAGGGACATCTCGGTACGCCGCATTTCCAGTACGTCCGAAAGATGGCATGACTGGCAGTCAAAGCGAGGACTCTGGAAGAAAATTGACCTTCAAAACCAAAGAGCACTCATACGAGTAGACGCGACGACAACGAATGGATCAGGCTGGCCACCTCGCAGTATATGGAAGTAAGCCGGAGGTATTCGGCGATCGACTGTCGCATGGAATCGCAAGCGAGTCAATAAGTATAGCATGAGCATGCTCCAACATGGCACTGCAGGGACATTGCGAACGCGAGGTCCATGCCGAAGGGGCGAGACCAGGTTGGACCAGACGTCCAAATGCCATCCCGCTGGACACCAATTGGTAGAGAAGGCCGAGGGAGCCAAGCCAGAATGACAGTAGAAGCCGAGCAATAAGGCTTAGCTGTGAATGCTGGATGGGAAGCATTTCGGAGTTGCACCACAGGGACAAGCACGAGCTCACGTTTTGGTCCCTGATTGGCTGCACACGCAACATCTCAGAACGGCACCCATGCCAACCTCGACATGACGGCACGCCTCGTGTCTCGTTTAGCCCGTGTACTGTTTGAGGGGTGCAATTGAGTTATGTGCCGTGGAATGGCGTGACATATCCACGGTGCCACGAACCATTGTATTGGGACGTTGTGGTGGTTTTGATAAGTACGGGGATGAGGAGTGTGTCAGTCCTTGGAGCGGAATGGCCACCGAAATTCAAACCTTCCACGTGGGAGTAAGCAGCTTCCGGTGTGCTGAGTCACAATATGCCGTGCCCTCCAGCCGTCCTGGCTTGTGCTTGACTGTCTGGTTGAAGGAGCGTATTGGTGGCGGCCTCACGTCTGCGGGTCTTGCAGACGTTGAGATATGTTTTTAGTGCAAAAATGCCAGATACCTACCTACTGGGCCGCGTACAGAAAACGATCTGGACCAGATGTAACCAACCAGTAACACGGAGTCTGGAGAGTCTTGTGAGCAAATGCCATTCATGCATCACCTTGCGGACAGGACACGTGCAAGGATTGTCGCGAGTCCTCCTGAAGTCGACGCTGGATTGGGTAGCCTAGAATCCCGTGTGGGGGGGTCTTGGGGCGATTCCCATCTGGCTTCCCTAGATGGTAGTCCACGCGTCCAAGGCGCAACACAAGTCTGCCTTCTTGGTATGCGTTTCATAATTTCGTATTCAGCTCTTCACATCATAAATGAAGCTCTGATCCAATCAAGTCTACCCACGTGCGTTTGTTGCAATGTCGTCTTGCAGGTCAATCCAAGAGTCTACAGATTGCTAGTACAAGCGAGGCACTCTTTTCAATACGTCCAGTCAATGGTGACATGTTTGAAAAGTAGAGCTGAGACAGGGTCCTTGATGTAGTATGGCAAGTGTAGCCTAGTGGTTGTAGATTAGTACCCTCTGCACAGCCTCAACCTTGTAAAGTATGCTTGGTACTCTAGCAACAAGACTCAAGCCAGCGCTTCTTTCATGCTCAATCAATCGATGCAATATATGCACGTTTTGTGGAAGATGTCATCAGTATGTATGCTATCCTCCCATCTTCCCAAGGTAGGTGCGTGGGGTGCCGCCTTGGCTGGAACAGAGTTCAATCATACACGGATTTAGCAGCTGCGAGCGATTTGAGCGGGAAACAATGGGAAATATTGGTATTTCTTTCTCCGATGTCGATGGTCGTTGTGTGATGATGTTGGCGTGAGTCCTTAGGCTGTTCGCTGGTTGCGCTCTGGCATGAATCGCGCTAAGCCAAAATTGACTAGTCTCACACAATGTTCGAAATTCGCTACCCGAGACTTCTCCAAAGCGCACGACAATTCGCGACAACACCACCCTCCGATACTAACAACAGCGTCACAAGGTATGTCCTTCTCCAAATTCACTGTTGCTGTCCAATTACTGACAAATATCGTGAATAGTCCCCAGCCAAAATGAGTACGCTGCGCTCCCACATGCCCGTTCGACCTCGAGCTTGGAGACTGACTATGATATAGCGAAGGGTACCTCCAGTTTCGGAAAGCGCCACAACAAGACGCACACGCTCTGCAGGCGTTGCGGTACGTAATTCCTCCCTGGAAGACGGCACTGGACTTGCAGTTGCTTGGATTGGAGCTGTTGAGAGAGAGAGAGAAGAACGACATTGGCCACAAGGACTGACAGGAAATCTACAGGTCGCCGATCCCTTCACATCCAGAAGCACACCTGCGCCTCATGCGGCTACCCTGCTGCTAAGACCCGCAAGTGTACGTTTACCTAGAGTGCAAACGCGCGCACACACCGAACCAGACAAGCAATTAACACAGGACAGTCAACTGGGGCGAGAAGGCCAAGCGAAGGAAGACCACCGGTACCGGCCGCATGCGATACCTCAAGACCGTCAACCGCAAGTTCAGCAACGGATTCCAAACCGGTACCCCCAAGGGCGCCAAGGGCCCCACCGTCAACTCCTCGTAAACGAATCGACACTATGAGCGGGTCAAGTGTGGAGGAGTAGAGGCGCGATGAAGGCCATTCGGAACGGGTGCATGATCGTAAAGCGGGGTTCTTCTACAAGCAAATGGTATTGCTCGGCATGGGGCGTTCTGTCATCCCTCTCCCGGTTGCTTGTCCATCCTACATGACGAATGAGGATGGCCATGACCGTTTGAGCGTATAGCTCTGGAGGCACAACTACGGAAAATTTTCATCATGTTCTCTCGGAATGAAGTCTTGAAATGAAAGCATGAATCAAGCCAACTGCCGTGCCAGAACCTGCTGACGCTATGTCGTTTGTTGATTGACTGGAAATATACAAAAACGCCTCCTTTTGACCGCCAACCCTGACCCCATTTACGCATCTTGCAGACTTGAAATCATACTGTCTCGGAAGCAGCTGTATGATGCGCATGGCGTGTACCAACCAGAACACGCCGCTCGCAACAACAGCCGTCAGAAATTTGAACCATAACAATGCCCATGCAACTCTCACCCAGCACACATCAAAACCACCGCCGTTCCTCAAGTTTCTTCCACCACCTCCCCGTCTCCCCTTCCTCTCTAGGCCCCACAAACTCCAACACCTGATCCCCAACGCCAACCCTAATATCCAAATCGAAAATATCACTTGCACTTCTCCTCTCTTCATGCGCCCCTAGACAGAAGCTCGCTCTAACTCTAACACCGCCTTTCCTCTCTTTAGCCAGCGGACTCAAGTACGGTCCGATATCTCTCGCAACACGATACGCCAGCGCCGAAGGCGAGAACTTGGTCTTGAGCGCGACGGCCCAACGATTAAACTCCTGAGGACGCGGGGCTGCACGGTGGTAGCCGAAGTTGGGAAAGTGGCCTGGGTCGACGGGCTGATCGGTAGTGGGTGACGCCGGGGGCGTGACGACTGTGAGTGCCGTGGCAGATGGGGAGCGGGTGTCGAGCCAGGACTGTATGATTTCGGCGTCGCGGTAGGAATCTTCGTGCCAGGTGAGGAGCCAGAAGGAAAGAACGAGTTGTTTGAGGTTGTCGAAGGAGCGGAGGCCGGTGAGGAGGGGGTTGGCGATGGGGGTTGGGTGGGAGAGAATGGGGCAGCCATTGTAGCCGCAGATTTTGAGTTCTTCGATGGTCGAGGCGTGGTGTAGGGCTATGGTGTGGAGGAGAGGGGCTTGCGGTGGCCAGCCGTAGTTTGGCTCAAAGGTGAAGTCTAGGGGTCTGTGGAAGCCGCGGCGATAGGCGGCGAGCATGCCGTCTAGATCTTCGTTTTCGAGAGCATAGAAGACGTCGGAGCCGTCTTGGCCTGGGTCGAGGGCTTTGAGGGAGTAGCCTCTTGCACCCCATGTGTTTCCTGCGGGAAATGATCCGCCTATCATGACAATCTTTTTGAGCGGACACCAGTGGAGGGCTCGAATCAACTCGCGCTTCTCGTCTCGTGGTATTCCGCCTTCTATCTTGATCTGCTTTACTTTCCGCATATGCGGAGCAAACTCTGCGATGAACCTTCTTCGACGCGTCCGCTCTTGAGACCCTTCAATTGTCCCAGACTCGTCTGTGACTGGTTCGCCGGGTCCTACATGTTGTGCGTCCACCCGGAGATCCGTCAGCATTGTAGCCATATGTGCAACCAGCCTCTGCGATCGAGCCTGGACATCAACAGATGGCTTGGTATGACCGTAGACCTTATCTATTGGCCAACCAAGACACAAGATCTTTGGGTGTGCCTCGAGGAAATCCAGAAAGGTGTCCTCCAGAAGGTAGATGTTATCGGGAAGCTTGGTGAGTGGTAAGACTGCATTCCTGACTTGGAACGCGCGTAGTTGTGGAAATCGCATTTTACTAAGCGCATACAGGAAATGCTCAGAATTGACAGGATGGTTGGGGCTTTCTTCTCGGCGGCGCCAATGTACCCAGTCCAAATTCAGACTTGTGAGAGTAGATGCAGAACATGCAATCAGCCACTCCAAGGGAGGTCTCACATCAGGCGCAATCGGGCCAAATGTTGTAGGTGCAAATTCCACTGGATTCGCATCGACGTATTCTCTAATTTCTGGAAGTTCTTCCCACATGACGGCATCGAAAGCCTTTCCCTTTCTGATGTAATCTTCTGTTGATGGCTGAATTCCTCGAGTAGGCAGTGCTTCCTCGATGGTACGGACTGTAGTTCTGGTGAACCCGCCAGCCCCATTGTGAATCGGAAAATCTCGCTGGCCGCCTCTTGAGAGTTTGAATTCCATTAACTTCAAGCGTTGCCTTTGTATCGAGTCAAACATTTCGTTCCCGAGCCTACGTAGCCGGATGCTTTCTAGACCAGTTGTCTTATGTGGTAGAAGCCAGTACAATGCGTCTTTTTCAAAGCAGCAACATTCCAGCCAGAGCTTGCGAAGCGGTACATTGCGTGGACGATTTTCGTCAAGAAAGCCTGCGACGAGCGCATTCGTGAGTTTCCAATGCCCATATATTATTCTTAGGGTATGTACATTGACCAGGTTTCGTAAGGCTAGTCTGAGGAGGATGTGTAGTCGTTCGTCCTGAGAGAGGTTGTCGGCGTCGAAGCGCATTCGCGGAAGTTCGCTGAAGATGTTCGGGGTAGGCAGATAGCAGCGATGTGTAACAACTTGGACTTTGGATGCGATGGCGGGATTGCTGCAAGTGTTAGCAGACTAGTCGCACTTCTTTGACCTTACTTACGTTGCCAGTATATACAACTTCTGGATAATTGGTGTGTCATCATGGTCGTCCGGTTCTCCGCGCCCTCTGTCACACCATATTTGGTCTACCTCTTCCTTTTTGTGTAGCGTCCACTGGTCGGATAGGCATACATTCTGCCACAGGATATCGGTCGCATGTTGGTGGAGCGTTTGAGAGACGAGGGCAACGTCCCTGAGCGTGGGCGTATCGAGGTAGGCAAGAATAAGCTGGAGGAGTTCACTGGGGAGTGATTGGAGCTTCAAGGCGGATTAGCAGGGTTCCAGGTATCGGCGACTCGGACCAAAAGCTTTGGATATGGGAAGGATGTGGGGATAGTGTACATGCGGTATGTGGGCTAGGCTCGAGTCAATGTTGAAAACATACGGAAAGTGGACGATTTGCGTCGCCGAACGCCGTTTCCGGGGATACGGCGACATTCAACATTGGAGTAGATAGTGGCAGAAGACGCGCTCAACAGCGCATTTCAAAACATGCAGATTGGGGTGCTCGATCTCGCAAATTTGCGGGTTTTGAGCACCTGGTGTGTGAATTCGTGAAGCCTAGGCGGTGACGAGCATCAACGCCATCAGTGGGGTCTAAGTCTGGCCCCGCTTTCACCCGTTTGTGTCTCTAGCACGCACACGAAGGATGCTCAACGCCCACATTTCTATCGCCATGTTGAGAGTCGGCCCTTCACAAGATATTGGTGTTCGAAATCAGTGATGAATTTGCGATATGGTCGAGTGTCTTTGTCTATCAGGTTGTGAGCCCACCGTGCCCCTGTTCATTGGATCATCCGGTACATACATCCTAGCAAATCTTCGCATCCTTGAAGCCCTACGAGAGACGCTAAATATTCATACCGGTAGACCCCGAAAACAAATAAACGCACCGAGAGTGTATGCTTGCTCACGGAGCGTGATAAGTATGGATGGATGGGCAGTGGAATTTCTTGAATCTCGAAGTCAATAATTGGAGCTGCGCAAGATGTACTACTACAAAGACTAGTGCGCACTTCAGCGCCGACTATTCAGCCTATTCCGACTGCAAACTATTTGAGCTCAGGATAGCACCGTTGCGCATATGTTCGAATCATCGCGCTGTAACTCAAGTCATCGAGTTGGAGGCGATGCCGTTGTGGCTTCCCGGAGAGACTTTGGTAGGTCGATGAGCGCGCCCAGACGGCCCACTACTCCATGCCGAAAATTAGAAATGGACCTGGTGTGAGATGCAGTGTTACAGCCTAGATAAAGTCAGAGTGAATACAGTTGCACAACAGAAGGACGGGCCATTGGAAATGATCACAAGAATAGAAACTTCTTGGAGGCTCCAAGACGTATCCCGAAATAGTGAGATGCTGTGTAAGGAAGACGGTTCAAAATGGAGGACTGTAAGCCTGCATCAACCTTACTACACATGTGGCTATGTTTGTCGTAGACTATTCTACTAGACGCTTCCTATTGAACAACCCGATTAATTGGGGTCGTTGCCTCATCCAGAATCAGGTCTTCGGAAAGACGTCCCGGCACCGTTATTTTAGGGCACCAGGGAGTGAATGAGCCTAATGCTAGCTAAGCCCTGTGCAACCAGTGCATCCTGTATACGCGTTAGAGTATCTTTGGGTCGATCTCGTTCAACAAATAATTGATAACAAGATTATGAGAAACGGGAACCGTAGACACAGTTTATCCGTCAATGCGCAATCATTCTGCTTTAGCCGCAATTCATGCCTTTCTTATCCGTGCGATAACGTTCGTGAGCCGTGCTGTTGAACCCAAGTACCCTATTAAGCCTACACAGCCTAGTAATGTCTAAATCTGAGGCATAAATTTGGAACATGTGTCTATTAGCTCCCTTGTCGTCAGCTGAAGTCCAAACAGTAAGTTTGACTTGAGCACGGTGATGCAAGTGGCAGGCCATGCTGGCCTTACTTTTTACGTGATCGCGACGTATTGGTGTCCTCGCTCGAAGACGGCCAAACGGAGTTGCCCATGCCCCGATCTGCCTTCAGCCGAACAGCTAATATACACGGTAAAGGCCGCTACTGTGTAAATGATGCAAAACAATGAGCAGCTGACCGGACACGGGGACTTGATGCTGATTATGACAAAGGATCAACAATCCACCGGCTGGCCTACGATGGATGCCACTGACAAGAAAATGGTGTTTTTGTTCTGGCTGGGGAGATTGGCAGGCTGGGTCATTGTCAGAGGAAGCAAGGCAGCCAAGGAAAAGTAACGAGTATCGTTTCACGGCTGGGAGTGGCAGATATGATGACTCGGGGAGTCCGCCATGCCTGT